TATGCGTTTTCCGCATTGCATAGCTGCAAAAAACGCATAAAAACGTATAACTGCACGGGCCCGCCTGGTGCGCATCACCAGTGATTTATTAAAGGAGTGTAAATTTGAAACAGGACGGCAGAAGATTACAAAATTGGCAAAATGCACTCGATTTTGAGTCGGCGATAAAACCCGATATTTGTTATGTCCGCGTGGAAGGGATTTTATCTCCAAGCTGATTTAACACTATATTTGGATATAGAATATCTCTGTAGTTTCAGCTGTATAGCCTGTCTGGTAAGCGAAATAACCACATCGCTACAAATATCTTTAAAGCGCCCTAGTTCTTGGTGTAAGTGCAAATCGATTCTCAATTTAGGTATATGATTTTCCATATAGATTATAAATATTCTGAAGATATTTCAGCTACTGCTTTATAGCTAGTTTTTGGGTTGAGGAAATGCCAATTGTAAATTTTGACGTGGCCATATGCACGGTAAAAAGGTGTGTGATAGCTGAGTTTGAAATCTTTAGCTCATATATGGATAGAGGACATCCTTTCAAAGTTTCACCCTTCCATTTTGTTTAATTTCCGAAATCGTTTTCCATGAAAGAAGACAGGAGACGATTTCGGAAAACAAAGAAGATAGAAATATGAAACTTTGATCTAGAAGCGTATAAGCGACAATTATGCGTTTTTGCCGTGCAGCGCTAGAGCGTCGCAACAGGCAGCAAAAACTCATATTGCATCGGCTCTGTCAGTGTGTGTGTTCGTCTGTTCGGGTATTTCAACTTGAAAGGCACGCAAGCTTTGAAGCTGAAATTTCGCCGGTGTGTTCCCCAGCCAAATGCCACCCCAGGACCGCGGTATCAACCCTCACATATGTCTGGGTCCCGCGTACGAACTCATGAAAATTTTGACGGGAAAAGTGCTAACTCGGGAATGAGAAAAGCTACAAAGCTGAAACCTTAGGGCAATGTTCCCTACCCGTATATGACAAAAAGATTTCAAATTCAGCTGCCCAGGATTGCCGGAGCTTACGTGCGGACACGTGAAGATTATGGCGGGAAAATTCCCAACTCGGGAAAGAGAAAAGCTAGGGAGCTGAAATTCTGCGATAATGCTCTTTACTCACGTACGACCAAAACTTTTCAAACTCAGCTCCTTAGAACTGCCCGGGGCTCACGTACGGGCATGTGAAAATCTTGGCGGGAAAAGTACTAACTCAGGAAAGAGAAAAGCTAGAAAGCGGGCGCATGGAAGTTTTGGCGGGAAAATCACTGACTCGGAAACGAAAAAATCCAGAAAGCTGAAGCTTTAGGGGAATGTTCTCTACTCACGTATGACCAAAATTAGGCGTATAGAGGCGCTCG